GTAACTACTGCATGGAGTAATCATACCAATACATTATTATAAAATGTTTTGTGGACCTTTATGGGAGACCTGAGTAGTGCTTGAAATTCTGAGATTCGGGCCTAAACCATCAGAATTATTCAATTCATCTACTGGTATACAAAAAATCATTTGTCTTCAGGAAAAAAACACTCATATCACATCGTCAGACAGCAAGGCTGCAAATGACTGCTGTCAGCCTACAGTTGTTGATACGCAGAGACCGCTGCATCCAGATTTCCAGTCCCACAGCCAGATGGCTCACAGGGGCTGGGAGAAAGGAGGAGCAGTAGAGAAGAAAACCGAACCGCCGCTTCAGAAGGAATTGCGCCTGGAGCAGCCTCTCTCAGCAAGGCAGTGTTTCTGGGCTGGGAAAACGAACACTAGGTGAGGAGACATGATCACGCAAGCCTGTGAGGACCAACACTGCCCGTGGAAATCCAAGATGACAGGAGCCTTTTCCAAGTGCTCTTGTGTGCAATTTAGCCCAAAGCTTAAGCAGCAGCATATCCACACAAGTCCCTTCATAGAAGCAAAGAAAGGCTTCCACACTGATATCAAATCTCACCACTTTGAGTGAGCATCTAACTACTACAGTGCTGGTAGAAGCAGACTCTGCTATGAAGAAGGAAGTAACATGCCAGCTCATAAGGCCTGACTACTCAAGGGCAATTTCTGCTGCATTTGATCAGTTGAGGTTCACAGATGAGCCATGTGACATGTTGCCACTTACCAACCAACAAAAGCATCATTTCTTCCTGCTGATTTAAAGCCTGGATGATCCCTCTGGAAGACTCATCAATAGTACTACTGAAGGAGTGCAAAACAAAGCCAGGCCTCCCTTCTTCAGTGAAAATGGGACTTTTTGCTCCTAGGACCACTATGATGTTTCACTGCCATTCAGGAAACCCAGTTTCTCTGCCTTTCACTAGTCATTTGGCAAGGAGATATGAGTTGTTTAATTATCTCCCAAGGAGATGCAAAATAGCAGTGGAGCACACGTTTAGAAGGCTGAAAGGCAGCACCTAATGACAAGTCTGTAAGCTGCTGAGCAAAATCTGCCTCCTGTGATAACTGCCTGCCGCATTTTGAACATTATCTGTGAAGTCAGAGACTGATCTTCACCCACAGAGGCAAAGACAAGAAGGACAGTAATTGTGTAAGTGCTGTTGTAGATTCTCCTTACCCTGGACACATGGAAGGACTTGTTAAATGGCAATGCACAGACCAGTAAGGCATGCAGTGCTGTTATCCGTCCAGCCAGCCTGTACCCAAGAAGAGCTGGAAGGGTAACAGCATCAGTGCAAGCAGTCTCAAAAGCCTGCACTTCCTTGCGGTATGAATGCAAGCCTAAAAATCAGGTCAGTTTTTGACTGTAAAAAACAACTCTTTTAGTAGACTGTAAAATGTCAGAAAGCTCCTCTCAGACAACTGGGTTTTATTAGATGGGTATGTAACAAAAGAAATATACCAAAGCTTAACACAAAGACCTCAGTCTCTGCTTCTACGACAGTTTAATCCAGACAACTTTCATAAATTTTGGACCAAATGTCATGTATGGATTGAAATAAAATAATATTTGTTTTTCTAGCAGTGCCTTGCACTCCAGTGCCTTCAGCTGGGGATATAACATGCTAATTTTTCAGGATGTAAAAGGTGAAGGAACAGAATCACCAGCACCGATACTGACTTTCCCTGCAGAGGCTGCTGAGGTCAAGATTTGTGGTAATGCTCCCAGCCCAACTTTGCTCCTTCCAGGCCACTGCGATGACACAAAAGTCTTGCAGTATCAGGTCTAGGCACACTCTTCAACTCTTCCTATGACAAAGCTCCCATGTTCAGAGTAGGGCAGCTCCTACCCAGCTGGCTGAGAACTTTCTGCACTGGGAATTCACACAGGGTGACAGCAGTGGCTACTCTGCCTCACAGGAAAGTATCATTTTCAGTTTAACCAAAAGCACTGAACCAGGATGTTATAAATGAAAAATGCAATGGTGTGTGGCATCGTGTAAAAAAATAGCACAAATCCTTGGACTGCACTAGTGTGCCTGCTTAAAACAGCGAACATAAGAGCTATGAATTCAGCAGCAAGGGACAGGACTGTAATTCTACAAAGGCCAGGTGAAGGGCAGGTTATGGACAACAAGGAGCAATCCAATTTGGTTACACTAGCTAAGGTAAAATTTACAATGGCTATCAATCCTCACGCTTTAAGGCATAGACTAAGCACCATCTGGGGTCAGAAAGAAATTTTCCTCTGTGGTACACTATAACACAATTGGCTGCATGTATTTTTTTCCTCTGAATCATCACATATTGCTTACTGTCAGAGACACAATACAAGACTATATGGATCACTGGTCTGTTCCAGAACAGCAATTTCTATGCTCTTCATTTTCTTCACAGTCCTTACAGATTACGATAATGTTATTTATACTACAGCAGTCATTTTCACAATATACAGTAATTGCTTCTCTAATTCCGCAACAACCACCACTAGCAAGCACTAAACTATATTTTTATGGGGTTTTAGTGATTTATTAGTTTTGTTTTGAAAAACAAATTTCACAATCTAATTACTTGTATTTTTAAATTACACATCAAGCGTATTACCCAGCATTCAATATTACAATAGTAATAGTATAAAAAAAAAAAAACAAAGATCTTTAAAAAAGAAATTTAGAACTCAGCTTTGAATTATTTTAAAGGCAGGATGTAAGTATTGTCTTCCTGACTGAGATCTATTAACACGCTGCCTTCCCATTATCTGAGCATCTCACTTGCCCTGAAGCACATCTGTAAAGCAAAGACAGTGAGAGACTGCAGGCGTTTTCTGCATCGATAAATTACAGATGTTGCTCTGAGCTACTCATCTATCAAGACAATTTTCCATAAGACTAAGACTAACCTGAAAAGTATCCATCTAACAGAGAATATGGAAAATAACTAATAAAAGTACATAGTCTGCAGACCTAATTTGTTTTACAGGAACATTTTTGACTCAAAGCTTTTTAATACAGTGTGACAGAACACAGGGAAGGAAATCAAAGCCCAAATAACACTTCTGGGTATCAAAACAAAGACCTTGATGCATCACTAACATGCTGTTGTGTACACATGCTGCTGCAATAAACTCAGCTAAGATGATATGGATAATTTTATGACAACTTCTGTGTTGAATAACTTGCGCTGGATCATATTTTCCAACTAATATGTCTTACATTTTACAGGTCATCTGTTATATCTGTTATATCATCATTATATTCAGTTCCATGAGGATGCTATGTGCCTCTATGGAGGAAGAGAAGAACTATATCTGACATATTATGTGCATATCCTAATACTGAAGTGTACAAAATGAATGGCAAATTAAGAAGCGTGCATAGAAAATCCAAGCAGCAGTTTTACAAAGAAATATTTTGCCATCACAGAGACAGTTACTGTATCTTAACCTTTCCACTTCTTTGGGAAATTGAGAAATGAATAAATGCTGAGAAAGCAGATAACAAGATTAAGAACACAGAGCCTTTTCCAGATTGCATAAAAAACAGAACATGACTCAACTGAATGGAAAGCGTGAAAACAGTACTTGTGTGAGATAAAAGACAGACACACATTTCAACACTTAATGCCAATCATTTGCTTATCCTAAATGGAAGACAAATACTGTGTTACTACCTTCAGAGCTGGGTGAAAGAAAAAAAGATAGAGCTTTCACATGTAGAAAAACGTCCCCTTTTCACTGCAATTTGCATTTCAGAAATAATAAGATATCCTATATTCCCCTAGATTCTCTCTTGTACAATCTCTGCAAAAGGTATTGTTTCCTTTTGTTTTGTAAAACAATTTTGTCACCATGAAACTACAAGTTTTTAAACCTATGAGACAGATTGTGGGTTTTCTTCTCCTCCTCGCCAAAACAGAAATCCTTGGTGGAAAGAAGAGTACTTCAATTCTGCTCTAACTTATGCATATAGAACAGAAAACGACATGGAAGTAGCCGTAACGCATGATACAACAATAACTTAGGCTTGATTTTCCCACAGTCAAATGAAGATTGTCTTACGAATCAAGGGAAGGAAAAGGCAGCAGAGTAGAAAAGACTAACAGCCAAATTTTATAAAATTATTGTCACCTAGAGAGCAAGTGTTTTGCAACACCGGTTCCATGTCAGAGCCCCAGGGAACCCATCTAAAATTTCTCAGCCACCCACACTGCACCCAGTGGGCAAGTTTTTCAAAACTGGGTGCCTGCCAGGCTTATATTTGTAGGTAGGCTCTTACGTAAGTGCCCTGATTTTACTAAAACGTTGAGCACCCAAACAGTTCTCTCCAAATTAAAAACAGGAACTGCTGGGTGCCCAGCACTTCAGAAAAAAAGATGGCACTTATTTGGAAGCTTAACTTTTAAACCTCACTTTCAAAAAATTACCATCATTTGTGTCATTACAGTTAAAGGACTGAAAGAGACTCCCTTTGGAGTCCATCTGTGCAACTCTTAATAGGTTTCAGGAATACCTGCTGAAAAGAGACAGGCGCCGCCTCTGTTTCAAGCGTCTTCCCCACCACAGTATTCCTAGCCTTTCTGAGCATGGGGAACGAGAGACCAGAGCTAAATTATACCCAATTTTCTGGAAATTAGTGCCAATATATACAGGGCACACTCCCCAAATAAGTACGTTACAGGTTGAACAGAGCAACTTATACAGTTTAAACCTCAAACAGATGAGCCACTGCTCTTTACACTTCTAGCTCCGCCAGCTTAGAAAGAGGAAAGACTCTAGCCTTTCCATCTTTTCATCAGAATACCACAACCTTTTACTTGATGGTGCAGAACTGGCTGGCTGTGCTGACAAATAAAACCAGTAAAGAACCAAACTTTCATTTTCTTTCTTTTCATTTACTTTCTTAGTGTTGTAAGTAGATTTCACAAGGTCTCCAGTGAAATCCTGCAAACATCATTTACAGTATTAAAGTCAATACCTGGAAAGGCAGTAGATCATCTACTGTAAACACAAGGAAATTGAGGGCAGTTCAAGTGAGGCGGTATCTTTGATCCACTGTCTCTCCCATCATCAGTGAAATCTGAGAAGACACACAAATACGTTGAGCACATCCTCAGAAAACTGAAATACAGTTAACTAAGAAACAGAATTTTGCCTTTTGATCCTTTTAATAACTCTCTCTCTCACCAATACGGATATACAGCGATAAGAGATTGAAGGGTTTAGGTCACTATTGCTAATGGCATCATCTTCTGCAACCTTTCCCTCCCACGGTGCTGGGGAGAGCTTGCAGCTCTTATCTGTCATCACTACATATTATCCTTCTCATATACATGCTGCTACTTACAAATAAGGAACGTGGTTGACCTGGCAACAGGATGTTCATTTCCTAATTTATCCACCATTTCTTTTAATAACATTAGTCTCGGCTAAGTAGAGAACAGTTCTAGCATTACACAATTTTCAATGTGTCTAGTTATACCGAGTACAAACAGCAATCCCCAAATCACTCCCTATTCTTCACTAAACTTCACTATCAAGAATGTGCTTCTATCAAAACAGAAAAATAGACCATCACAATCAAACCTCGCTGTTTAACATCTATAATTCAGTACTACTTTGTGACCTTTTTTCCCCCATTTGCTCATTTGAAGAAGTAGTACTGAAAAAGATGCCCAGCAATGAAGCTTCAGGGCAGAAAGAGGTCTTGTAGAGAAAAGAAAAAAAGTGAATTAGACTAGGGAAAAAAAGAGACCTGTCCAGGACTGAATTACACTTGAGAAATCTCTGATCGATACAAAGGCCCAAAGAGACTGAAGCATTAGCAGTGTCCCTAAAGGGAGACCTTATCCCTTGTCTCCCCAGTCTTGAAAAATGAGAGGAGCGCTGGTATCTGAAAGTCCTGATTTAGGATGTCTAACTGCAGGGAAACTTACGAGGCTTTGATTTTTAGAGAGGATGGGCCACATCATCTGAAATTTAAGCCTATATTTAACAAAGCTCTAGAAACATATAGGAAAGCTAATGTTGCCATTGTACTGTGATGATTATTTTGCTCATATCTGTATCTATTCCTCTAACCTTTTTGTACACTTCTAATGATCCAATTCAAATCCCCCATACGAGTCAACGATCTCTGAGACAAAGGCAGCACTACAATTCAGTTAGTTGTAGCATAAACTCAGTTTGCACCACACCTTGAGCTCAATTTCTCCAAATAATCCGGACTACAGATAAGCCCTACACCAGTATCACAAGTGTCATCCTGTTCACAAGACATTTAAACCTTTCCAGTATTTCTCTGCAAGATTTTGTCAGCATAAGCTTGCACAATACAACACTCCTTTTCTTAATAAAGACGACTGCAGTCTCCAAGGCTGCTGGTGTGAGCTGTTGTTGTGGGTGCATAATGGTTGCCTACGCAGTACTGCAGTACCAGCATCTAACTTTGTAAAGTTCTCTGTGGCAGAAAAAAACGAATTCTTATTTACTTGGCACAATTAGAATAACCATTCTGTTCTGTTTGATTTCTCTCCACCCACCCGCCCTGTCCAGCTAAATTAGGCTGTCTAGCATACTTTCAACACACATGGCAAGGAACTATAAAATCTAATGTTGCATTTTTCTTTAAACAGAAATGTTTAGCCACCAGGTTTTTGTAAAAGAAGTGTATTAAAAGATAGCTAATCTGAAGGAAATGATTGCCAGAAAGAGCTGGAATAAGGCCAAAAAGCTTACAGTACACAGGGATGTTAATGGCTATGAAATGCTTAGTACTCTGTGGTGAAATGAGTTAACACGCTAATCTTTCCTCTCTAAGGGGCTACATTCAAAAAACTGCAGGTGCAAGACCTGAGTAAATGAGCATACTTGTCCACACCTAAAGACATTTGCCCACCACATAGTTTGACAGGCACTGCACAATTTCGGAGCACTGAGGAATGATGTGTCTGTAAGTCAGGTTTTTAAGCACTATCAGTAGCATATTGTGATGAACCTGTACCACATCAGCTCATACCATTGCCTGGGGTTCTTCAAATACATCAGTAGCAAAAGGAAGACTAGGGAAAATGTCAGCCCACTGCTGAATGGGGCGGGTGCCCTGGTAACAAAGGATATAGAGAAGGCAGAGTTATTGAACGCTGCCTTTGCTTCAGTCTTCACTGCTAAGGCCAGTCCTCAGGAATTCCAGACCCTGGGGACAAGAGAGGAAGTCTGAAGAAAGGAAGACTCTCCCTTGGTGGAGGAGGATCGGGTTAGAGATCTTTTGTCCAAACTTGACATCCATAAATCCATGGGCCCTGACGGGATGCATCCGCGAGTGCTGAGGGAGCTGGCGGATGTTATTGCTAGGCCACTCTCCGTCATCTTGGAAAGGTCCTGGAGATCAGGAGAGGTGCCTGAGGA